CGCGATCATATTAGGCAGCAACTACTGTACCAGAAGAAGGATTAGGAGCAAGAGAAGAAGAATAAGGAGAATACTAAAAAAAAGCAATATTTGAGGGAATTCTACCAGAAATCCTATTTTCTGGACATTCTAGAAAGCAATCTTATTTTTGACGAAGTTTATTTTAAGAAATTAGCAGTGAACAATATGTAAACAATCAGACATGTAGTAAAACTATACGTCTGATTGATTAGAAATTTCTGCAATAAAAGTTATGAAATAAAATTATAGGGTATCTTCTCCCCCTTTCTGCAAGCTTTTGTAGTGTAACGGTAGCACACACAGCGCGCATTCGAGGGGTCCAGGTTAAAGTCCCGGCGGGGGCATTGCTTAATTTTCATGTCTCCTGCTTCAAAAATTCCTAATGTCTCTACAGTGGCGCCCGAACTAAAAAAAGGTTGGTGGGTGATGATTATTCTCTACAAGGGTTTGACGACTAAACCCCTCTCGTACCCAGTCGCCCTTTAAAAGGGGAAGTATATAAGGTATTTTCTCCTTCCTTTTTGCATGCCTTCGTGGTATCATGATAGCAAGCTCGGCGCGTATTCAAGAGCTCCAGGTTCGAGTTCTGGCGAAGGCACTGCACATTTATCTCTTCTCCTGCTTCAAAAATACCTCACAAATCTACAGTAGAGCCCGAACTAAAAGGTGGTGGATGATGAGTCTTCACCACCAGGATTTGGCGATCGGTTCCGCTAATTCCCAGTCACCCTTTAAAAGGGGTATCTTTTCCTTCCTTTCTACATGACTTTGTGGTGTAACGGTAGCACACTTAGCGCGTTTTCGAGAGATCCAGCTTCAACTCCCGGCGAGGACATCGTTCATTTTTTATGTACTCCTGCTTCAAAATAACCTAATGACTCTACAAAATCAAATTATCCTATTGTACTTGATTTTTCATATAAAACAAATAAAAAACTTTTTGCAGAGCAGTTTTGTATGGAAGTAGTTTAATAATTCGGATCCTGATAAAAAAATTTTCCTCATCATCACCTGAATCAACGTATATTTCTCCATTTTCATGGTGAATCATGAAGTCCAAGAGATACAATAACAGTAGTTCAATCCTGATGGTGATGGACATGGCAATAGATACTCAGTCATTCAGATAATGTTATGAAAAGAATAATGGCAATCAATATTATTCTCTTTTAGGTCTGAGCGAATAGTATGGATATTCCTAAAAGTAACAGACGAATTAAACATGAATTTTTGATGTGTTAAAGTAGTTCCATTGCATGATTAGTTAAGCAATTTTAAATTCCTTTTCGAAACATCCTTTACCTTCGTCATAAATTTAATTAATCTACGTTGAGCTAGTAGTCGAATGCGGGATCACTCATGTTAAGGTAACAGTGTGAGATTCTGGCTTTAGAGTTATTTCTAAATATTATGCGATCCTGGGCCAGAATTTAGGGATATGAGCGGTTGATGCAGGAGCTGGTAAAAACTAAAAAATTAGAGTGTGAATAAAGAATCATTTTTGCCTTCTGTCTATGATGGAGGGACAGAGAGAATGTTTTCTGCTCTCTTGATCTGAGCCACGGGAAAGCGACCCACGCATCTAGGCTCAGAATTAGATGTTATAGCAGTCCCAAATAGTAAATTTCAATGTTCTACGGCTAATCGTTTTTGAGTTATGAGGGATATATACGAGTATATACGTACCCAGGGACAGACGTCACAAAAAATCCCTTTTCCACTTCGTTCTGAAGAAAAGGATCCTTTATGTATGTTCAGATATCGTGCAAAAAAGCGAGTCAAAATTGATTCTGGAACAGTCAAAAATGCATATTTCCGCTAAAATACGACATCCGATGGCCTTCGTGATTGTAATACTTCCTGTACTTCGTACAAGGAAGTAACATTGAATATATACACAGCTCTGATTATGTTTATACGTTACTGTGAAGCACCGAAATCTGGAGAATGTCGACTTTCACCGGTGAAATGTCAATATTCACATAGTCGCTTGGTCTATGTCCGAAATATTTTCCAAATACTCTTATTTCTGACTTACACCGGTAAATGTCGACATTCACCATGTACTAATGGTGAATGTTGAACATATAACAATATATTATATTTTCTTCTCCACCATTCAGTCGCTAAAAAACGCACTTGAGACTTAAAAGAAGAACTTAAGGACATTAAGCTTAAAACACACAGTAAATTTCATATGAGAAAGGAAAATAATAGAAGTTAAAAACTTACTAAATTTGATTCAAATCTTATTTGATTCAAATCTATTTATTGCAACAACTTAAACTATTATGACACTTTGAATTGCAGAAGAGGCCTTTGCTTTTACAACTGCATTTATTTGTGGAACACTTTCTTTTGCAATGACAGAAGGTACATATACTCCTCTCGTTTCGACCTACACCACAGCATATCTGTGATTGTCGACATACACCGGTGAGGGTCCGAATGTACAAGAATGAATGCAATATTCGATAGTTCACTGACGTATTTGGTGAATGTTGACATTTTCCAGTGAAAGTCGACATTCTCATATTTCGGTCTTTCACGGTAACATATATATGCGTTATCGGTCTAGGACTGTACAATTAGGGAATTTTAAGTTTGCTACGTAAATGAACCTAGATTAATAATTTGCTGCTGTACTAATTTGGTGTGAATTTGTTCATAATGAAGACAGCTTAAACATATTGTTTTTCTAAATTTAGTTATATTTAGTCATAATCAAAAATTCCCTACACAACAATAGCTGCAAAGTTAATTGAACAAATTAACATGGATAATTGAAATTAATAAGAAACTTCATCATGATTCATTAAAGATTTTATAACTTCTGATTGTAATTAATTTAACTAACCATCATTTTCCTTCTGATCAATCAAGTATGTTATTCAGTAGAATAGTTCCGCATTACATGATAATAGTAATTGTGGATTATAATTATATAAATTTATAGAATTAACTTATTAGAGCTTGTAGTTTTTATCAAAAATCAAATAGATAACTTCTTTTAAATTATGTATTTTGTATGCATTTAGATTCACAAAACTTTTTAAGTTCACAAAATTACAAAAATTAGTGATTTTGTTACCAGTTTTAAAATTAGTTAAGTATGTGCAAATTGACGATTTGGAAGTAAAGGCAAGATAAGTACGTTTTTGCGAACGCTGTATATAATCTGTTTAAAATAGTAGGAATATTGTAATTACATACTTTATGAGTAAGAACAACATACTAATTTATTGCTCATAATGATTGAAACAAGAGAAATTTGTTATAAACTAATACAAATGCAACATAAAGAAGCGATATGCTAAAAGAGCACCATGTTTAATTCCATAACCTAATAAAAACTAGACAAATATGGCTAAATTTGGCTTGGAAATATCGGTACAAATAATAGCGCTGTGAGGTTTGCGTTTATGTAAAAAATAATTCATTTGTACAGAATTAATTTTTCTAATAATTATTTCTTTCTAACTTTAGTGGTATAAGTTCCCTGTATAATGCTGATATCACTAATAAAAATAATTAATAACGAGAAAGCATAATTAACCCAAAATAAATGATTCTTAGCTTCATCTGTGTTGACAGATACCTCTAATAATGGTTTATTTCATATTAAAAAGCGTACTATTAAAGATAGGTGCATGATATAACTATCAGAAATATCCTTGTTTGGTTTAATATTTAATAGCTATTAGTTTCAGCTAAAATACTGCTTGCCGAATTAGACAAGAATACAACCTTATATAGGTAGGGCGTATTATATAAAATTGTATCGATTTCGAAGGCAACTAAAAAACATTTCTATTACTTAGAAAAAAAAAATGATTTTAGGATGTCGGAATTTTTTTTTTTTTTTTGGAAAGAAAATGTCTACAGCTGTCGTTCTGGATATCGGTATCATTTTTATGCAAAATCCAAGCCAGTGTCTTAAGCTGCTTTTTGATTAATTTCAAATTTTTCATTAGCACCTTTCGCTTCCATGCAGCTGTCTTCATTATTACTAAATTTAGCAATAATCAATAAATACACTTGTTGCGCAAATGGAAAATTTTGTATTACGTTATGTATATAACGATAATCTCCACTTCTGAAGTAGAAATTACTACAATAGAGAACAATATTAAGCCTAAAATATCAGTAGAAGTAAAGAATTATTGTTAATTGGATATAATATTATTATATTATCTTTCATAGTGCAGCAGAAGCATAAGTTCCAACGCCTTCTTGTTGGCTATGCAGAATAAATATTAATGATTAAACGACGATGTAATAAAAAATATAAGTGAATAATTACTAATTAATTGTAATCAATTCACATTACGATTATTGTTTGTACTGTAATACTATGGACAAATAACTATTTTACGAATGATACCTTATATTACTATTAATTACTTAAATAATTAATAATTTAGGAATTATTGCAAGGTTACAATTTATGACCATAATTAATAACACATTAATTGTTAAAATTTTTAACAAAATAATTCTAAACATTTTTGAGGACCGCTCAGTTAATAATTAAAATACAATAGAATTAACAGTATTCTTTCTGCTATTAATAGAACTAATAACTAAACTAACTCTTTCTGCTATTAATGAGAATTAACATCAGAGAGAACAAATGTTATAAATTTTATAAATTGAAAGATAAATGCTTATATTATTTCTACTTTCATGGCATTTATTTCTGGTTTTATCTGCTTTTAGAACATTTGTATCACAGCAGCATAGTTCGATATGTCATCTGAATAGTTTTAAGAAACCTATATATTTTTAACATTACTATAGTACTATTAAATACTTGCAGTTTTAGAGCTAATAGCATTAAGATCGATTTAAATGAGCTTAAAAAATATTCAGAATACAATTATTGCATGAAAACCTCTGCTTCTCTGTTGACAACTTTTTACTTTAATATTTCCCAAGTTTAATAAATTTTGAAAGTAAAACAAACAAAGTAAACTCACCACAATCATCTACTGTGAACTGAAAAGGTTCTGTGACGTCTTCAATCAGAGTTGCATCCGAGAGAGGTATCTTTCCAATGCCCTGGTCCGAAAGAGATCTCAACTGATCACTTTTTGATCTATGCTTTAAGGACAGAAATAACAGAAAAGAAAACGTTCACGTTCTTCGGTGCTCATACCAAAATATTGCAATTTTGGGGGATTATAGGGAAGGCAGGGGGTTAGTGCAGTAGATTAGATTCAAATTGTATGCTATCAACACCTCTTCAGAGCTCGAAATGAAAATAAAAGCATTTTTGCGAAAGGTAATCCTGCATGCCTGTAATTAACCACTAGATGGCAGCACAAATCAAAATTATTTTTAAGGCGATGCAACTTTGTGATACGTGTCAAAGTTACGGACACAAGTCAGAACTGGTAGATACCTGTAATAGATTTGTGTTTTCGAGCACTGAAAAGTGCTAGGATAGCAGTTACAGTGCCAGAATAAAATGGATGATAGGGGGAAAACTACAGCTACAAATAATTATTTTATTAAAGTTCTCAGTTTTTTTTATTATAAGTCAAAATAATTACGGTAGATGGCAGCACAGATGGCGTTTGAATGAATTTTTTATTACGCTTCTTGCGGTATATTTTTTAACACTTTTTGCATTTAAAACGCTAATAACTGATTTTACTTCTAAAAAAGGAACTCAAAAATCTAGAAATATGTTGAAAAATGCAATCATTTTCAAATTTAACAATAATTTACAGGCGATTTCAATATGATGTACAAAACAAATATCTCAACTGCATTTATTTTTTACTTAATAACTGTATACTTTGTACGTAAAAAGCCTGTTATAAATATTTTATGATTGAGTACAATACCGCTCTAGGAGATGATATTATTTAGTATGTTAAGGTTTCAGTTTTTTTTTATTACTAGAGAGAAATCTAGCAACAAACTTAAAACTTGTAAAGAGATAATATTTAATTACTCTACAGTGAAATCTATCACAGCGTGCATTTCTCTAAAAGTGCTATCTGTTAAAATGATCACTATTGCTGATAGCATGATTGGATAACGTTGTTTGAATGTCACGTTTATTTATTTATTAATTAACTGAATTAATTAATTTATTAAGTAACTAAATTTCTTTTACAGATGATCAGAACATCTGGAACCTGGAGCGATCGCATAATGAAGGTTTCACTGTGTATTAATTTATAAACATTTCTTATTCAAAAGTTTTCAAAGAATTAAATTCCACACACAAAATTAATATGAACATCAACATCATGCTACATGCTCAATAACTGCGAGACCAAATAAATCACAATGAAGTGCAAAAACTAATCAACAGAAGTCAAATTAAATTTTTATACGTTGATTATTTGAATGGATTTTGACGAAAAACAAAATTAATTAAATGATTCATTTTCTGGAAAGCAATCCTGAACTTTAGCGAAAATTATTTAAGGATTTTACTATGTAATTATGTAAAATTTTGACATAGAGGCGGAAATTAATTCTAAATACTGTTTGGGCTTGTATGCTGATGGAATTGTTGTTTAGGGAAGCAATTAAGGTTTTTCACTACTCAGAAGGATATTAATCTCTCGCTAGTTTTCAGAATTTTGCTTCGAATTACAAAATAAATTTTAAGTTTTCAAAGTCCGTTTAGAATATTTTTACTACTAATAGTAACCTGTATGTTCACTAATAGTATTAATAGTAACCTGTATGCTCAACATGGAGGTGTGTATCTTCATTTTGAGAATAAAACATCATACATATCTCAGATTTAGCCTGAAACAGTTGATTCTCAGCCGTGCTCACAGCGTTAGTTTGATTTTTAGATACTATAAACAGAGACTTCGGATTTTAAAGTTTATCTCTGGCAGGAATTTGGGTGCTTATTCCTCGGCTTTAAGGGCTGCATACACTACTTTAATTCGCTTAGTCCTAAAATATGGCATTAGGTTTACGAAGCTGCTTCTGCCAGTAACATTTAAAAACTGAAAACGTTCAGCTCAACACTGCCAGAATTATCACTGGCTTTCGTACTAGCTGTCCAAATGATATAGTCTTGTGTGAAGGTGAGGCTGATCTTCAACTTCTCAAACTCAGAAGTAAGTACCTATTGACTAAATATTTTCAGAAGATTGAAAGCTTTCGAGGTAAGACACACAGAACTTATGTTATTAAAAACTGGATCAACAGTCGCCTTCTCAAGAGAGACAATGTTTGTATCGAAATGATGTGCAATTCATTTCGCAGAAAAGTATTCCTAAATATCCTAAGTATTCTGCAATCTTGATCCTATTTCCTCCTTTCTAAGATGAATATTTCAACTCAGGACTTTAGTTAATTGATAGGGGTGTCCATCTCTAGAAGTATCTCAGGCAGTTGGCAAAGAGATCATTCGTAAAATATCTAATAACGCAGTACAGTTTTATATTGAAGGCGATAGGGGTGATGGAGCTATCTCAGGTTTCAGAATTTCCATCAAAAAAGAGAATTACATTTATTAAAATCTGTAAAAGAAACCTCAATTGCTGCTTGATTGTTAAGGTAGAGTTAATAGTTTTTAATGAAGGCTTGAACTATTGCGCAACTACTAATTTTGACAAAGATGTCTGGATTTTTAGTGTCAGCCGTGACTCTTTTCAATATATCTTTTCTCTTTAAAGGTTGTATATATATTAAGGAATGGAAAATATATCATATATATATATAACTAGATACATAACTTCCATACATATATAACTTCCACACACACACACACACACACACACACACATATATATATATATGTATGGAAGTGAAATTCCTGATACATCAGCAAGTAAGGGCGGTCTTCAGGGTAAACGAGATATTAGTGTTTTTTCTGTTGTGGAACTTGCTTCTTGGCTCAAGAATGAGATCATTCTGTGCCTTGATCATGGTTGATATCCTCGCATACAGCCTGGTGCTTCTATACTTGAAGCGAACAGTATACAGACCCAAACTATACTAGCTAGATTTGACAGCGGTCATCTGCAGCAGAAGAAATATGATTCTGGCACAAGGTTTATCATCCATATACCAAGAGCTGACCTTAATAGGCCCCTCCTTCGCATACCTTCTCGTGTTTTGTCTGCTTTAAAGACCAAATTTACTACAATCAAGATTTGATTCTGGAGAGTCTTACAAACATCTGGAGTTAATCTGATTCTCAGTGAAATGAGATAAGTTACAATTATACAACAGAAATGTTCAATTGAAAAGTAAAATAAAATAAACTGAATAAATATCAATTACAATATGAGACATGCGATCATGTGATCATCTCTGTGCAAAATGATAGTTCTATCATTTGTTACGTAAAATGTTTTCCACAGACCTGAATACGATGTTTGATATGGTGAACATCTACTATCGTGCAATTGTGGCCTCAAAAGTTGACCGAAACATGGTAGTTGCATTTTGTCGTACAGTACAAAAAACCGCAACGAGGTCTGATATGCTGTATAAAGCATCGGGAATAAAACATTGATACGATTCAATGCTTTTCGTTTGTATGGACGACTTCATGATGGAAACAAAGATGTTGTTGACGAACTCAGGAATGGTTGCCCTCCGTAGTTTCGAGCAGATGACAGCTTCGAATACATTTATCAATCTTGCTGAAAACGCATCATCTATTTCTTCGAATGATAGCTGACAAGCTATTGATGGCTAAGACAGAAATATGTTGTTCTCTTTCGACTTTCGATTTTGTCCGAACTTAGTTCTAAAATGCTTAGATGCACAGTGTATTTATACAGATATCTTTCGCAACTCATCAAAATCTCAAATCTTCAAAATCTCTCTTTTGTGAAACAGATTTTGGATGCGTTCGATTCTAAGAAAAGTTGCAAAAACATGAAAATTATTACAAATTTATCTTACAGGATATGCAGTTCGCATAACGAACGATCTTTATTTTGTGACGTATTGTTTTTCCCGTTTTTGTTGTTTACTTTCTGTCTCAGTTAAATGTTATTGTTGGAACAGCATTCATAAAATATGAAATCATGTTACACGGAGATATAATAAGTAACGTTAATAATACACAATGAATAAAAAAATTCATGCCCATATATTTTGGAATGTTATTAATCGATTAATTGATCTATTTTTGTAATAGTATCGAATAGGATGTACAGATGAAGTCATTCAGACATAAAGTGATGAAGTTATTCAGACATAAAGTGACTGCTCAAAACACTTAATGGAAAAATTTAGTAATGTTAGATTTCAGTGATACTATATAAATGTGATTGATAATATAATGTAACTGAATAGCTGTCATGACGTGATGACCACGCATGCGCAGTTTAGCCGAACGGCCTGCAACGTCTCTCTCTCATGAGACTTACTAGAGAAGAGTAGTTAGTAGGTAGTAGCGAAGTAACGAAGGAAATGTGTTGTATGTTAGTTTAGGTGCAAGATACGAAGTGATACTTGTGTGTTCATCGTTTGTACTTATTATTTTTATTTGTGTGTTAATAAAGTGTTGTGCCGTTAAAATGGCTGTTTTATGCAACGCACACAATACGATACGTCTACGGTAGGAAGTAAATACATATCCAGAAACTACACGCCCAAGAAAAGGAAGGATATGACAGTGGTGTCAGAACAGGAGGATATGTCATTCTGCAAAGTTCACGGATAAATGCGTAAGTGAGTTTTCAGAAAGGTAAGAAATTTGTTCAATTTATTTTGTGGTAAATTGGAATTCAAGGTTACAAAAATGGCTGAAGAGCTAACGAAATCTAAGAAAGAACGGAAAGTTATGCGTTCAGCCATTACTAAAGTAACAAATGCTATTGAATCATTAATTGCAGCCGGTAACCTTGAAGAATCACTGGAAAGTTTAAAAGTAAAAGCTATTTCTTTGAAAGCGTTAGACGAAAAAATTAAAACTTTGATGTTAATGACATTGAAACCGAAATCGAAAGTGCCTTGGAATACGAAGAAAAAATTTCGAAATGGAACTTTAGAGGCACAAAATTATTGAAAGAAAAAAGAAATAGCAATAATTCGCTAGTTTCTAATGGTTCTTCTAATGATAGTAACAATTTATCTATTTCTGGTGTCGATAAAAGTTCTGA